AAATTCTATAAATTTTTAGACGCGCGCTGTAATGTTCAAATGATACTGCGCGAAATCAATTTGTGAAATATTCTCATGTGAAATATCCTCCATCGAATCACGCAAGCGATTGAGTGGGAAGAAATTACTGAATGTGTTACTTGACATTTCTATCCATTTGCTTGTCAATTCTTGAAAGCGTTTTCGAGTGAAAACACTATGCAATATCGTTCGTTGATTCGTTCATTTGGGAATTGGAATTTCTCAATTTTTGAAAATCTTCACTTGAACATTTTCAAAAAAGCGTTTCATCTTGATAAACTGGTCACTGAATTTCCTCATTCCATCCGAGCTAGGGAATATGTATTTCGTAATGTTGATTCTGCTTTTTTTAGAATGAACCGCAACAGTACGTACTACTGAATGCGTGGATTATTGAGGTGAGTATCCGTAAATCATTGCAATTGCACGAAAGCATTTGAAATTCCACATTCGAACAATATTGTTTGCTTGGAAATGCCATTTCCGCCATTTTTAAACTATGGTCATCTTGACCTTTTCAGTTTCTTATTTTCATATTTGACCTGCATGACTAATATCATATTTGACTAATTCATTTAGTTTGTTTTGTTTGATGAATTGTGGAAATCCAATAAATATCAAATATATCATATATCTCCATAGATCATAACCTAGTTCTCTGGGAGTCGATTTCATTATTCCAATTGGAGTCTTCACAGTTACCAGCTGGATGGATAAAATTTATCATGGACGGAAAAACTTTATGGATTTAATCAAACTATAGGAGGGATTAAATTTACACTCTTGTTGCACTCTTTGCAGCGTTGGCATGATGAATTCTTGTTCTGGGAGCCGTCAGATTACGACAATATGTCTGAATTGAGATTACCAACCGATGCAATTTGGCTTCCCGATACCACTTTGTATAATTCGTTAGTTGTTTTTCAGTTACATTCACTTATTCTTACAGCTTATTGATAATATTAATAGATGATAGCAATAACAACAGTGTTACTGAAAATGTTCATTACTTTTTGAAAAATTCGAGCGATTCAAGTTGCCTATTCATTTTTTTGATTGTATCACTGATTGAGAGATTTCAAAAAATTGAGAGTTCGGAAATTGCCTAAAATTTCTTGTAAGGAAATAATAATGCAGTGAAGAACTTATGATGAAGCATAATACAGTGAACAGTTAGGTGGCTTACCTACTGTGATAACAATGATATCAAGGATAACGACAGTGAGAATAGTTATCAAATAAAACTGTAATAACTTGATGGGAATTAAGACAATAATAGTATTAATAGTAATCGCAACGATGATAGTAGATAATATCACAATAAAATTCTGAACCTTTGCAGACTTCTCTCGAAACGTCTCTTTTCTTTTGAACCAAACAAATTTTCAGACTCGTGATGAAAGATGAGGATACACGACGTTTGTTGAATGCAAAATTGTTGAGTAATACAACGGCTCGAACGGCCGAAATTGAATTACTCTATCCGACAATCTATAAATTCTCGTGTCTTCTCAATCTACGATTCTTCCCATTCGATGTTCAAGTGCGATTTTGCTTGCTTGGACAATCTTTCAACTTTTCCTACTTCCTCATGCCTTCCAAGTCTCCTAAACCAAAATACATTTTGAATCTATAAATGTTACAGCGTAGCATTTGTAAGGTTGTGTTGATAAAGTGAAAGACAACTGCATTAGTGACTGTTAGATGAGATCCGATCTGGAAACTGTTCCTTGTCTCTGATAAAGGAATCATGATTCAGTCTAAAACCTATAAGCAATTCAGTAAAAAATCCCAAAATTCGTCTCATAAGTAATTCAACAATTTGTGCTGATCGCATACGATAAACACCCAGCTGTTCATATGATCGCCTTCCAATTCAATGTGATCACCAAACTTTTTTTTGCCTCATTTCGATCGCCAGCTAGATCGTATGCTGATGTTTCAAAGCACATGAGCCACATAAAATCCTCTCGGAATTTCATCCTAAAATGCTTTCCGTCACTTAGTTGCCGTAATATTGCTCAAGAAGTATTTGTTTGAATCTGATCTGATTGCTTGAATGATTTTAAGATTTGCACAATGATTTTCTCAAGTTGGACTTACGATCAAAAGGGTATCGACTATTTGCCGTATTCGAATGTGATCGGAACGTCGAATTACATTGAAAATGAAGGATGGTCAATTCTGCGAACATCTGGTAATGTGATTGACTACCATATACTTCACCCATAATTCTGCATCATAAAACTTCAAAAAATGTTCCATTTATTGAAAACTGTGCAATGACGAAGAACAAATGAGACGATCAAAAAGCAGTCATCGTCGAGCAGAAAAAAAGCAACTTTCAATTGAATAAAGTGAAAGATTACGGTGCAATATAACTTACGAATGAAATTTCACTTATCCAGTATCGTATTCATCCACTTTCTACAATTTTTGTCTCATTTGTTCTTTGAGCAGCTGCAAAACGATAGATAATTTTAGAACCGAATAATATATTCTATAAATATTTTCACTACTTGACATTTATAGATCATGTCATGTAAAGCATTTGCTTCAAAAGCATTTGTGAATCATTTGTCACCTTGCGTGCTATCTTCCTAAAACTCGATGAATTTCGTGTTTCCATTTTCCATTTTTCACAAGTTGATTGTGATGAGCTAGGCAGGAGCAAAGAAGCATTAACCATTCGAAGAGGGACACATTTCTCGAAGAAATTTCTCAATTTTCTGAAATTCTAAAGATGAACTGAACGCATTTTGCAGTGAAACGTAAAGAGGTCAAGTACGAGTGTTGTCCGGACAAGTATACAATGCTTTATCTGACGATTTATCTACGTCGTAAACCGTTATTTTATATTGTTAATTTGATTATACCCACAAGCATTATCACGCTGATCGCGATTATTGGCTTTTTTACGTTCGTTTTTTCTTAGTAGTGAACATTTGATTCGTTTGATTAATTCTGGTGATCATTTATATCCCGCTGAAACTTCAAACTATTATTGCTTTTCGAGTGGATAATTCGCAAGGATAAGTAATCCATGTTATCATGATCTCGATCGTGTTATGTGTCTCTTAAAGAGAGAATATGAAAAAGTGACTAAATCCAACTTGAGCGCATCTTCTAGGACTCTATGCGAAACTAAATGTATTCATCTCGAAAATTGCATTTAAAATTCAATGAGCAAATATGAGATATGTTCATAAAACAACACTCATAGCCATTGCAAACAGCAATTTCATCAAGTACAAATCAAGCGTTCTCATCGAATAAATACATTCAATTGAAATGCGATTGAACAGTGAAAAAACTGACTGACTTAGAGACTCTTTGAATAAAATATCTAATCGCAAATTTTTTGTGCTCATTGATTCTTTCGAGCTGTTCATTGCAACTCGTAACTCATCGAAGAGCAGCACTTCAATTTCAGAACATCATCAGCGAGTGGCATGCGTGAAGAGAAAATCTCACTTGGTATCACCACTCTCCTGTCGATGTCCATTTTGATGTTGATGGTGTCTGATCAAATGCCTACAATATCTTCATTTATTCCGCTTATCGGTTCCGTCGATTCTTCTTTAACTTTGAGAACTTTTAAGCATTCGGGCCATTTTAGCCGTATGATTTTATAAATGATGATACATTCAGTTGTGTGATTGTACATTCTGAAATCTATTCGATCTGCTCAACACTTGTTTGATCACTTGCTCCCTATTCATCCAGTGATCATTTGGAACTTTCAGGATGGTTCATATTGGGGATGATAGTGGTGATAGCGTTGGGGACGCTGTCATCCACGATGATAATCGCCATTCAGAAACGAGGTCATTTGGGGGAGCGTTTGAGTTTGCGTGCGATTCGTATCGCAAAACTTTTCGCATTCATCTCAGTCAGCTATGTGCCACTCCATCTCATTAGTGGTACGAAGGTTTGTTTCGGAAGATACTTCTAAGTTCTGGATATATTCATCGCGAAACCGTTGCTTATGTTCCTCTGACGATTGTCTGATTTCTTAAGCGATTCAGTTGGAAGTTCTTTATGAAATCGAACGGTAAAACTTGACTTCCCTGTATGATCACCTAAAATGTCATTCCATCTATCTTCTGAGATTGCAATTTTTTCAATCTTCAGGTGGATTCTATTGGATAGTCAACATTCCCGGAACAAATTCAGTTCCACTTGATTGCTCAAATGTATTTCCACAAGACACTGAAAAACTTTGCAGGAATCAACAGAAGCACCGTCACGACATGTCTATCGGAAGTCCGTAAAGATCACTAACAAACTCGCTCGCTATGGTCAGCAACAGAGATGGGCAACGCTTACAAAACAAGCTGCAAACCTGTCAAAAAATGGCTTAAGAGATGTCACAATAATGAAGGACAAGAGCACTGATTTGCTCATGTTACCGTCAAACTGTGCGTTCATATCGAACA